TAAAATGCAAGTTCTCGCTTTCTGCAAAAGGAATTAAAGATAACCAAGCAGTTGTGCTGCTTTGTGTATCAGAAACAGGATGCTGTGCAGGCATTAAAAGGGCTATAAAACAGTCAGAAGTAAAAAAAGATGTTGTTCTCAGCACTGGAGGACACAATACAAAAAAGGAGAAGCCAATTCCAGTCAAGTAACTCGTGTTTATTATTTTTGTTAAATGGAGTAAGCTGCAACTATCAAAACAAAGCCAATGGTGATAATTACTCTGTGATGTTCACTTTATGAAAGTGAAGCAGCTTAGCAATTTGAACCAAGTTTCACTTAAACCAGTGTTAACTCCACTAACAAAACCAAAGAGAAAAATATTGCAAAAGATCATGGGCAGATCATAACTTCCAGGTCCCACTGCAAAAGTACAAGTAGATACAGGACAAATGGGACTCTAAATCCATTACAGTACGTTGATGCTGATCTGATTATGCAAGTATATTAGGGTCATCTGTGATATCTTTCCAAAAAGAGTTAAAGTTGGTCTGGTCAACGCAAAAAGATGCTGCAACTTCTTACAAAGGTAGATCACCATTTTCTTCATCTTCTTTATAATAGTAATTCCAGCAGATTTTCAATATTAACCTTCATAATGCAGAATAGAATTCCTTGGCATTTCTTAAAAGCTATTACACAAAGTTCTTGGAATCATCCAGATTAACCTCCAGAAAACTGAAAGATGTTAGATATCTAAGTTGTTCTGCTCTCTCATTACTTGCACATGATCTAGAACTGCTGCTTGGGCATAACATTCAACTGGCAAACCTACAGCTTCTGCCACTCAGCTATCAGCTTCTGCTAAAGTGGTATAATGGACACCATCTAGGAGGGTGATTAGAATATTATGCTTATTGCTGTTGATAATTTCTCATGATTGGTAGTAGTTTGCCTTCTCGCCTCTGAAAGTAGTTACTTTGTAACATGTTTCTGGATGCTTGGACAATCAAGAAACTCTTCTTCACTGATGTCCTCCATTTCTTCACTCCTAAGTAACTGTGCTACAAAAAAAAGGTAGGATCCATAACTTCCAATGATGCATTGCTCCATCAACAGGACAGCCCAACGAGAGGTAGTATCACAAGGGCCATAGGAATCCTCAACTTTACAGAGAGCTCCATCGAGTTTCGTAGATGTAACATGGCAAGGAAACATCCAGTTGATGGACATGCATTGTACTTCCTCAGGTTGGAGCAGTACTTCATGACTTTGACATCTATCTTCAACAGTGGATTGGTATAGCACAACAACTGATCAAGCTTGAACAGCACAATGCAGAGGAGGCAATGGCCTAGTGGTATTATCATTGGACTGTTAATCCAGAGACCCAGATAACATTCTGGGGATCCAGGTTCGAATCCCACCACGGCAGATGGTGTTAAGAGTCCAACGATGACTGTGAAGCCATTGTCGACTGTCAGGAAAAACCCAGCTGGTTCACTAATGCCCTTTAGGGGAGGAAACTGCCATCCTTACCTGGTCTGGCCTACATGTGACTACAGACCCACAGCAACGTCGTTGACTCTTAACCGCCCTTTGGGCAATTAGGGATGGGCAATGAATGCTGCCTGCCAGCGATGCCCTCATCCCAGGAATGAATAAATTTTTTTCTTTTTTTTGTCAGATTGGACCTGAAGAGAATACAGACAAAAGAAAAATCTACCTATTGCAAGTGCATCTAACCAAAAAGGGATAACAGCAGAAATTACCTCTGCACAGTCCTTGTTGAGGCAATGGTTTATATTCACACAGAAAACACTGCTGTGTGTTGCTATCACAATGCAAAAAAGGCAACAGATTCAGAACAGAATTAGCACTTGAAAATTGGACAGCTGTGGCACTGGAATCCATCAGCAGAATTGCATACTAATCATAATCAGTAAACTCTGCCTGCCATACCCTTCACCTCTACCATTACTATCAAGTCAGAGGATCAACTTTGGTTCAATGCAGAACGTAGACCAAGTGCATGAGGTTGAAGATCCAATAATTATACATCATACCAAATAACAAAACAACACAGATCAGATCTAAACTCTGCAGTCATGTCACATAATATCTCCATCCCTCAAAAGATGACAAAGCCCAGCACATCAGCACAAATATCTTCCGCCAGCAATCTCATGAACAATTCTTCTTCACCTCTTCCTGAAGTCTCTCCTATCACAAAGAAATGGCTGAATGTACAGGTCAATGCAAAGGTTGTCGCATGCCCAATAGCATCCAGCTGCAGCAAACATTTATGCTCCAGAAATAGCTGTGCCTCTTGTCAGTGTATTCTACTACAGTACAATATTGCCATCTAACAATGTGGAAACTTGCCCCAAGTGAGTCCTCTCCCTGAAAAAAGGATGACAAATCCAGTCTGCTCAGGCGAAAGGGATCACTGACGAAGATAATATGCCCACTTTCCAGACAACTTTTGCCCATGATTGCTCTTCTCCCCTGCCACACTAAAATCTCCACCCAAAGCCAGGTAATTTTGACCAATTATATCTGCAACCTCTACCCAGTTCTACATAATGGATGGTAGAGTTTAGAATCCTTCCTCAAATATCAGCTGATGCAAGGTCAGCTGTTAAAATTAACAGAGATAGATACATTTTTGTTAACCATGTATATTAAGGGATATGGGCCAAGCGCAGCTATGTGTCACTTGGCCACAGATAACTGAGATAATGGAACAGATCTAAGAAGCTGCATGGCCTACTCTTGCCCCTACATTCCTGCCCAACAATGTTTACCTACGTTACAGGAATCCAAGGTTCAAACATGAGTTTTTTAAAGTCTGCCTCTTCCAAATCATAAAAGTCATCAGGTACAGTTACAAAAGATCAGAATCAAAACTGGAACTGCAAAAACTATGATAACTAAAGCAAAGACCAGCAGCTTTACATAGGAAAAATGCCAAAGCCCTCATCTAGGCACAATTAAATAACAGCTTAAAACTATGCTAAAAGGACATAATAGGAGTAACCAGAAGGTTGGTGAAGACATTGGAAGATGAAGAAGTGCAGAGGTACACAAGTTAGGGGACAGAATTGCAGAGCTATATTCCTTGACAACTGACAGCACATGGCTACCAATGTGGGACATAGGGAGTGATGGGGATGCACAGTGAGGCATACTCACAGGGACCATATAATAGAGGGACAGTTACAAGAACCATGAAAAATGTCAATTCTGCCCATTACCTATTTCAACATAACCTATAAATGCTGCTCTGCTGGAATTTTGTAGGTATCAGAATAAGCAATTCAAATAGTTTAGTAGCAGAAAAAGTACGAAGATGGGGGAAAAAAATAGGTTGACCCGAGCCTCTAATTAATTCTGAAACATAATTTCCTCCTTTGAATGTAGTGGCTTTACATGAATTTATTTCATACCTTCACAAGTTAGGTTATAGAGAAGACTCCAATGCACAATGCTCTTCTACAGACTGAACAGAGATTGTAGAAATATGACACTCAGGTCAAAACAGGAGTCTCAATGTTTTCTTTGCGCTTACCCTAAAGAAAATTGATGAGGTCATCTGAATCATATGACTTATGGTCAAATAACATTCATACAACGATCAAACATGGCTACAAAATATTCTTCCAATATCATGTTGCCAAAACTACCTTAATCAGCAGTCCCAAGACAATGTCAGAAGCCAGTGAAGCACCACTGTTTCAAAACTACTTTATCCTCCTTGACATCTCAATTCCAACATCTACTTTGCATTTCACTCTTATCAGGTTCCCCCCAACCTCCCACAAAATCAAGTCTTATCAATTGTATACATAGAAGTTAATTCAGCAACACCACAATCTCGGCCTCAAAAATAATTTATAACTAAACAATCTCAGGGCTGCCCCTTTCAAAAGGCATGGAATGTTTAAAATCAAGAAACCAAGAGGTGCTAGTACCCAAATGTACATTAAAGGTTACTGGTCATTAGAAATTTTAAAAAAGCCATAAAAAACCTGTGTACAAGCCCATGAAAGTGACAAATATTAAGCACAATTAAAATAGCTTTAAAGGGAAAGAGAAAAGAACTTAAGAGCCAAACAGTATCATATTACAAAATACATTAGTTTTGCTCAGAGGATAAAAAAAAATAGCAAATGCTCTTCACAGAACAGTCATTCTTTTCTGCAAAATCAACACATGGGTCATGTGTGACAAAAACACAAGTGAACCATAGATTTTACACAAGTAACAGATTTTTCAACAGGGGACACCAGGGTGAAAAATTGTACCTCCACATCCTTACAAAGAGTGCAACCAGTAGAGAACAGGCTAAGAATCAAAAATAGTACTTCCCGGTTTACATGCTGCACCAACCTGCCTTCATTATAAAGACAACCAAGATACTCCATGCAGCAACTTTTCATACAACTGCTGTACACACCCTATACCACTAAAGAGGTCCCTTTTAATTTAATCACTTTCAGCTATTGTCATGGGACTAGAACTTGACCATCTGGGTTTAGATTCAATTAAATGGAAATCCCTGAAAATTCAAAAAAATTGTTCAAATAGGAAAGTCACCTGGAGAGGTGTTCAGAAAGTACTCATAGGTTCTGACACCCATTCCCTACCCGGCACCCTTCCCCAACGGAAGTCTTATAGTGAGGATGTTTACATAATCTGATAATTTGGGGGGGGAAAAAAAAAATCTGTGGTAGCCTTTTCCCCAACATTAGCAATCACAGATCCCAAGCATGAGCCTAGTTAACACAAGCAATGCTTTAGAAACCAAATTCTCTGACTAAGTTTGCCTGGTTCCAAAATTTGTCTGAATCCATAAGTGTCGATAAGCAAAAATTGAATACAGAGATAGTTTTCATATAATTTTAATTATAATTATACATATTACATTTAAAATAAATTACACAATCTTACAAATTTCACAGTAAAGTTTACGTATAGTTTAATACATTTTGTTTTCAGTAGAAAGGTAACCCATTTGACAAGGTAGTGCCTTGAAAGTTGTTTTTTTTTTTTAAAAATTCTACATTTTGTAGCCTTATTTAATATTGCATGACATCACTACTATAATCCACCTTATTTTGTAAATAGTTTCCATTTGACCTGATGGATTTTAGATGTGCAATACTCTTGATAGTCAAAAAAGGCATAAACTGGAGTAGATAGATGCTCTGCAAAACACCCTTATTCCCTCCCATCTGCACAATCCATTCTAAATTACATCTTCTAAAGGACAATTATGGGATTACACTTCTGTTGCATTGTCTCCCACACAGTTCCTTACCCCCACCCATTTTATGCTGATCCAAAGAATGTCACATGTCAAGGCAAAAGAATGGCTTGAATTTAAATTCTAGCCAATGTAATGCCAGTCCATTAAAACTCTACTTTCAAATGGCCTCTTCACATTGAACTCAAAAGTACTGTCATCTTTTCCATGTTCCGAGCTGGTGAAAATAACAGGGCAGACATGTCAATATGTCCAAAAAGGACAGTGTAGTACTACTGGCCTCTATTCCACAGAATTAGAAGATCAATTTCAATAGCCACTTGATTGCGATGGACAGCATTTAACACTTTGGAAAACAATTGCTAAAAAGAAAGATTGGGGTGGAGGATAAAAGTATATATTTAAGTATGGATATTAAGAGTCAGCAGTCACAAAGTTCAGGCACCGCCTTGAAAACATGTTTGTTCACATATTTTACTGTTAAATAACATCCAATTTCAAAGTTATATTTGTCTCAACTAAATGTTGGAATACAGCTCAACACAAACAAACAAAATTAGGTGGATTTCTCAGTCTGATAATTGAGAAGGTATTATTAACATTGAAAGTTGTATTAACACCAATATATTGTACAAGTTAATTGCTTGTCATCTTCAATAAAAATGAAGTTGCAGTGGCCTGAGGTTTCACTGAAAGATCTTAAGAGGCCAGACCACCACAAAATGGTTTTAGAGCACCACTGGATTATCATAACGTCTTAGGTCAAGTGTTCTTGGGAGGTTGGGGCAAGCAATGAGGAAGGAGGGGGAGAATCTGAATGTATCAAACAATTACTAATTCATGAGTTACTTATTTGAGTTCAAAACCCAACAAATGGCATTCCATCAGAGCCATACAACAGATTATGTCCTTCAGCACCAAACAAAAATATTTAACTAAAGTCACTATTCAAAGAAGTATTTGCAAGCTATGGGTCAGAAGGTTCAAGATTTGTCAACTGGGATTTGGTTATGTAACAGTAGTGGAGTCAGTTTTCAGTCACGGGGTGGGTACCAATGAACAGCAGCACCTTAAGTGCATGTTAAATTGAGCTAGTTAATTTTGAATTGACACTTTGGGAGTCTAGGGTGGCAGAAGAAAAAAAAACACTTGCTTGCCTACAATTTCAAACCTTTGGCAAGTCTCAAAATTGGTCAGAGCCAGCCCTGTATACCATTTCTTATTTTCACATGCACACTTAATGACTTACGCAGTCCGGCTGCACTCTCTGCATGTGATCTTACATATCCTCAGTTCTAATTCAAAAGCATCAGGTCTGTCCTGTGGATTCGCTGCTAGCATTTCTTTAATCAGTTGTTTCATTCCTGCATTCATTGACTTTTTCTTAACAGGAATGTTAAGTTCCATCTTGGGGTTTTCCAACAATGCCTCACCGAGAGGCACAATCACCGTTCCCTGACGCACGTAGCTTCCCAGTAGTTCTTTCTTAGTCTGTGAATCTATGAACGTGATCCTTTCCAACATGGCCCAAATGATGACCCCAAGTGCAAAGATGTCAGCTTTAGCTGTATAATGGCCTTCCCAAACTTCTGGTGCCATGTAAAAGTCTGACCCGCAAGCTGTAGAAAGCCAACATCTGTTCACATTAACTGGCTCTTTTTGATCTGCTCCCAGCCCGGAGCATACTTTACTCAGACCAAAGTCTGCCACTTTTAGAACAGGACCACTTCCTCCAGCTTCTGATCCGGTCTCAGTAATCAATATGTTATCTGGCTTCAAGTCCCTGTGCACAATTTGATTTTTGTGTAGAAAAGCCAAGGCACTACTGAGCTGCAGCATGAAACTAGTGTTGGTCCGACGGTTGGGCTTTCTCGATAGCAGATACTCATTCATGTCCCCACCATCACAGAAATCCATTACAAGCCAGAGATAGTACGAACTCCTAGAATCAAAGCTGAGCTCCCCTTTCAGTGAAGTTTCCACCAGCTTTAAAAGCAAATACAAATAAGATTTTGGTCCTGTTGAACATACATACAGAAAATATAGCTTTCTAGCTGGTGAGTCTCCATTCTTTTCAGATCTAGATATTTTAGAATGCCACAGCATCTGACTTTATCAAAAATTTACATGGAACTGCTACATTTATTGAATCTTGCATTAATATAAACAGTAGTCAGCAAAAAAGTTTTAAAGAAGTTCTTCATTTTTTTTTTCCCCCAGGAAAATTCTTTAATAGTAGCAATAGATAAAAACACAACACCCCAAATGACTAAAGTGCTAAAATTTTCAAATCCATTCAAAATGGCCACCTTCAGGATCTTATCAACTGAAACTTTGGACATGATTGTTTACAGAAGCTCAGTGATCAGCTTAGTCAGGGTACATTCATTACTTAAATCTACTGGAGTGGTCACAAATAGTGAGATGAGAATTCATCTCAAGATAGTGGACTGATGTCCAGAAGTTGGGAGGAGCAGCAGAACGACTCAAGAGGTTAGGGCTAAGACAGCACAAGCTGTAGCTATATCTCATGCTTAACTGGGTTTTCAAATTGATCTTCGTTTGCATGCCACATTCATTAAAGTCATGGAAAGTGGTCTTAAAATTAAAAGCAATATCTAGTGCCTCATTTCATAAAAATTTCTAAAATCATGAAAGTGAAATAATTACATGAAGTGGGACATCACTTAATGGCTAGTTCAAAAGCCAAAATTACAGATACAATATGTATATTGTAGAAACCAGTAAAAACTGTTTTGAATCTCTATGCACTGGACATTTATGTAACCCCACCCTCAATCCTTGCACATATAACACTATACGGAGCTACACAAAAACCATTAAGGAGAAAAAGTATCATCCCCCACTCTGTTCACCAAGTATTTTTTTTTTTTTTTAAATTGAGAAACACAATGATAGTAACCTAACATGTTCAGAAGATTACTAAAGGGTTGTAAAACAGTCATCAGGAATTACTGTACTTTGTATTAATTTTGCAGAACTATTGAAATGAATCAATTTCTAAACGAGCATAAATCCACTTCATTCTCCCTTTCACTTGATTCTGAAAGAGTAATCTCTGTTTAGAAATATTATGACAAAAAAAGTGAGTGGTTTAAAACCCAAAAGAAAATTGCTGTATTATCTGCATCTGTATCATATTACCTACACATAGCCTGGAAGTTCTTGATGGAGATAAGTTTTTTTTACTTTGCAGTATTAGCAGACTTCTCTACAAATGATAAATGCAAAATAAGTTGGTGTATCCAGATTTCCTCAGATCAGGCAATACAGCCATCACTAAACTGTATTAACTACTCTAGAGATCACTTTAAACCATCTTGGATATTAAGAGACTGCCTGCCATTCAACTCCTGACCTTCTCATTGTAGCTGTAACATTGGAAATGTTACAATAAATTGATATAGATCAAAGAGATGCTCATCACTCTTTTACATTCAGACCTTTGCATCCAACTTAAGGGATTTTGTAGTCTTTGAAAGGAGGAATACAAAATTGGTCATTTTCAAAATAATTAGGAAAACATGAAAAACAAGAATGTTTTCAACCACTTATTTTGACCTTTATTTCCCTGCCCTTAAGAAGAGATTTATTACTAGTAGTCTTTTGAAAATAAAAGTTTAGCTTTTTGTTACCTTTAAATAATGAGAAGAGGATGATCCATGTGTCATCTTTTGCAGCATCCCATCTTTCTGCAGGATGCACTCCTCTAGGTGGATCACATTAGGATGAAGGCTCTTGATACTGCTTAATGCCCAAAACTCTCGCAAAGCCAGTTCCACATTCTCAGGTGCATGGCACCGTATTTTCTTCACTGCTACCTGTGCTCCAGTCTTTCTTACCACTGCTTCATACACTACACCATAACTGCCACGTCCCAATTCACGTACCAAGTTGTATTTTGGCTCCCTACTCGCCATGGACAATACTTTTAAAAACTGCAGAGGAAGAAAAAAAAAAGAGAAAAAGGCAAAGAATTCCTGCTTTACAGAATATATAAAAAAAATTCAAGAAATACTACTGGTGTTTCTAAAAAAATGGCACTAATGAAGTGGGAGACTTTTTAAAAATGCTTTAAACTATTTTTATTTACATGAAATGAGACTAAGGGTTTCAGAATTTCTGCTGAGTGAAACAACCTTGTGTAATATGGTAAAAAAAAGCAATAAAACTAATATCCCTTCAGGATTTAATACATTTTGCATATCATGACAACACTGAATCATTGAACATTAGAATTCTAGTGTATACCACCAGCAGTTCAGTTGCAAGATAATCTAGTAAATTAGATTGTTAGACAAAAAAGGCTAAGCACTATGTACACCTGGTCAGCAGAAATTGATTATACAGAATAGCACAAAATATAATGTAATCATTTAAATCTATTTTGATGGATGCATTAAAGCATTACACTGGGGATCTTTCAAGTAGCAGAAGATGTAATCACCGATATTCACATTGCTCTAGAAGCTCACAAAAATATAAAGCAGCAATGAGAATATGTTGATTGGTCACTAGCACATCAAATATTAGATCATGATTTCCAAATAAAATGCAGTTAAAAAAGTTTAGATTTGATGCTCGAATCAAAAAGACAACTGTGCACTCTTTCCATCACCCCAGGCTCCTAAGTGCAAAAAAAGGCCATTATCTACAGAAAATATCCTCATATTTGCAGAAGTGCCCATCATGATTGCTCAAGAAAAGATTCAACACAAACTAAAAAAAGAGTCCAAGTCAATTTTTAATTGCTTCAAAATGTTTAGTAGAACTATAGCTTGTTGGAGGAACAAGCTTTTGCTTTATTCACAATTTTAAAAAGAGTGGAAGCAACATGAATACAGAATACTTTGGACTAAAAACAGTAATGGAGCTCTTGTTTGAAAGTGCTGATTTGACAGTTGTATATGGTTTTATTTCAGATGCCCAAGCTCTGCTATTTTTATATTGGACTTTCTGTAAAGATTAAAGCTAAAAAGTTGTCATTGAGGTATTGAGGAAATAATGGTTCATGTGTTAGAGCTATCAAAATCACATTCGCCCATTCTTTGAATCAAACTTGGTTATTACTGTTGAATAACATATTGCTAAGAAACTTTAAAAAGAAATTGGGCCAAGAAAGGAAAATGAGTCTACCAGAGTCCTATGCATTCCACATTTCACCCAACACAATATACAATCCTACAAACACCAATTTCATTGAATTCGCTCTTCACATGTGTCAAAAATATTTTTCAGCAAGACATGACTTACACACCTTGTCAGACGGCAAGATCCATCAGTTTTGCTGGATGCCACAATCCAAAACTTGCCCATATTGCCCACTTATTACTGGCCAAATACTTAAATACTCAAGTCACATTTTTATGCACAAGATCAACTTTAATCAAGTAACCCAATTGTGTTTAAGTATGTATGCATGGATGTGTTTACAGGCTACAGTATTAGTCAATGGTCTTA